AAAATGAAGAAAATTGCAGTAAAAAGCCACCACCAAATTGTAAACAACGGAGAAATGTAAACAAACGGCTAATGTCAAAATCGTTCAACTTTTTTCCTAAATGCGATTCTAACGGGCTACTTTCCTGCCCGCGTGATCTTGTCTTTTTGGTTCATGCCTTGGCCAGATATAAATCTGGGTCGTTCCGGTTAAGTAGACCCGACTGTCGTGGGAACGTCATTCAGGCCGCTGTGCGCGCTACCACTCCACAAATTGTCAAAAAGAAATTAGTAGTTCAAACGCATACGTTTATTAGAAAATATTAGAAGCAGTATAATTTCCTCCCATTTTGTATGGTAAGTTAATTGAATATAGTCAAAAGGAGCATCACTGAAAATAAGGCAGCCAATAAGGTCAAAATTTACAGTTATTTGATCTACTGGCATCACCTGTATATAATTCCACCATGAGAAGCAGTATAATTTGCTCCCATTTCGTATGGAGAGTTACACCCGATTTACATGTTTCAAGTACTTGAAAGCCATTCTTGCTCATTCTCTTTTGCGTTTTCTATTTGATTTTACACGTTTCAATTCTGTCGAATTCAAGTTTTTGGTTGTTTAAATGGAAAGCAACGAAAATGCCAAAAGCAAAGCAAGAAAGTTGAAACGACTTGATGGTACAGACGCAGAGCAGAGAACATGTATTATTGAGAAGATGCAAACAACAAATGGAAACTATTGAGTGTCGGAACTTAACAGATTTAGAAGGTTTTAACCACGGAATCCACTTTTTGCAGATTTTTTGGTGGTGGATTCTGTTAAATTCACTGTTAGCGGCACAAAATAATGTCTAGCAACATGTATATTGATATACTCCGTGTTGCAGGGTAGTAAATCGGAATTCTGATATTTTTACTTAATATTGCCAATTTTTAATTATTTTTTTAATTTTTGCTTTTTTATATGCAAAACAATTATAATGATAAGAAACCAATTTTTAATTATTTTTTTAACTTTAG